TGTCTGTATGTTTCTGTGTGTGCATGCATGTGCAGGTGTGTCTGTATGTTTCTGTGTGTGCATGCATGTGCAGCCACATGTGCGGTGGTCAGAGGACAACTTGTGAAAGTTAGTTCTTTCCTCTGAGGGTCCAGGCGTCAAACTCCGTCATCAGGTCTCACAAGATGAGTCTCCTCAGGGGCCCTTGGTTTTCTGTTATTGTTTCTTGTTTTTTAAAAGCAGGGTCTCAGCCGGGCAGTGGTGGCGCACACCTTTAATCCCAGCACTCGGGAGGCAAAGCCAGGCGGATCTCTGTGAGTTCGAGGCCAGCCTGGGCTACCAAGTGAGTTCCAGGAAAGGCGCAAAGCTACACAGAGAAACGCTGTCTTGAAGAAAAAAAAAAAGCAGGGTCTCATGTAGTCTAGGTTGTTGACATTGCTGGTTAGCCTAGAGTAGCTTTGATTGACAATCCTCCTCTCTTAACCTCCTGGATACTAGGATTATAGCAGGGCAATCTTGTGCTACCACACCAAATCTTCTTTTTTATTTTGTTTGTTTATTTGAGACAGGGTCTCACTACGAGGCCCAGGCTGTCCTAGAACTCACTTGTAGCCAAAGCTAGTCTGGAATTCACTGTATAGCCCAGGCTGGCTTGGAACTCCTTGAAATCCTCCTGCCTCATTCTCCCAAGTGCTAGGATTACAGGCATGAGCTTCTACATTTGTTCCTAAATAAACAATATTGTATACCTATTGTACTAGGGCTGTGAAGATGAAATGGACAAAGACAGACAGACAGACACACACACACACACAGGCTTTTAATCATGATACATACCTGTAATTTCACCACTTCATAGATAGGAGCAGGACGGTTGTGTGTTAAGAGCCAACCTTGATTACATAGTAAGACCTGGTCTCAAAAGGGTCGTGGGGCTGGAGAGAGGGCTCATCAGTTACGAGCCCTGGCTGCTCTTCCAGAGGACCAGGGTTTGAGTCCAAAAAAAAATTTTTAATTAAAAAAAAGAGTCTTTAGACTCGAAGAATTACCTGGCTGATAGTGTCATGTCACCTTGGAGATCGTCCTATTACTGGATAAGAAAGTTTAGTCAGTAATTTGAGTCACTATCAAAAGCAATGGCTGGAATCACCTAGCAGGATCTTGCAAGTGCCCTTACCATGTACTTCTCCCATCACTAGGAGATCATCTGAAGCTGCTTGTTGACAAACCAGAGATAGTTTCTGAGGTGTTTAGCACTTCCGAATCAGCTTCAGTTATTTGAAACTAATGTGGGCAAAGATGTTTATAAATTCATTCACGTAAATGGAGTAGCTGACTGATGGAAATGGGAAGGGCATGAAAGAGCAGAATAGGGGATGTAGGGGGTAATGTGCTTGACATACAATGCACATTTGTACTGAAGCTTTAAAAAATTAAAAAGAAATGATTTGCCATAAATGGTGGTTCCTGCTTATAATTCTAGCGCTTGGTACCCTGAGGCAGGAGGGCGTCCTCAAGCTCGAAGTTGGCCAGGGTAGCAGAGGGACACCCTGTTTCAACAAACTGAAAAGTTTCATGAGTTCACAAGGCAGATGTGGTCCCATGGAGTTCGGCACTCAGTTCCAGTTCTCGGCCTCTTCCCAGTGTTAGACCATTTGCCAGACTACTGTGAGCCTCAGTTTCCCTGTATAAATTGGAGCGCAGGGCTAGGCAGAAGCTCAGCTCATACAGTATTGGCTACAGAAGCATGAGGACCACAGTGCGGGTCCCAGAACCCACATAAATGCTGGGTGGTTCCACCTGTAATTCCAGCTCTAGAAAGGTGAAGACAGCAGATGAGATTGGGACCAGCTGGCAGTTCGACTAGCCTCACCAGCTGCTATTCAGTTGACAGACTGCCGCAGAGAATAAGGAGAGTGATTGAGGAAGACCACTGGCATCCACCTGGGACCTCCACACACGTTCACAAACACATGCACATGGATTACAGGAACACACATGCAGAAATACAATGGAGAGTGTAATAACTTCCACAGGATTGCTGTCTATACCATAAAGTGTTAAGAGCAGTTTGTATAAGTTCAAGACCAGCCTGTCTCCATCTCTGCTTCTCCCTAAAATGAAGCATGTGTGTTCTCATCTCACACATCTTTCTCAGCGTGTGTGTGTGTGTGTGTGTGTGTGTGTGTATCTTGAATGTTTGCAATTCTGTTTTGTTTGTGAATTATAACTCAATAAAAGAAAAAATAATGTTTTCTGAGAGTGGTGGCGCATGCCTTTAATTTCAGCATTTGGGAGGCAGAGGCAGGAGGATTCCTGAAAGCTGGAGGCCAGCCTTGTCGACAGTGAGACCTTATCTCAAAAAGAAAAGAGGAAAGAAAAAGAAAAACTTAAAAAGCAGTTGACAACATTCCACATACTTTATTATTATTATTATTATATAATTATTTTTTAAAGTTTATTTTATTTGTGTGTGTGTGTTTGGGTAGATATCTGTGTAGGTCAGAAGATGGTGTCGGAGCTGCTGGAGGTCCAGTTACAGGTTGTGTTGAGCCACCGCGTGAGTGTCAGGAACCAAACTCTGGTCCTCTGAAAGAGCAGGTGCGCTTAACCACAGAGCCATCTCTCCAGGCCTACTTTATTATTGTCAATAGTAACTAATATAATAGGAACAGCATTTGATAATACGATACTAATATGTGCCATGTGGTTTACTACAGTAGAGGACAATCATAATTAAGATAGAGAAGATTCCTTGGGGTAGAGAGAGAGTTCAGTTTGTGGCTCGAGAGATGGCTTGGCGGTTAAGAGCACTGGCTGCTCTTCCAGAGGACACAGGTTCCAGAGGACACAGGTTTGGTTCCCAGTACCCACATTGGTGGTTCACAACTACCTGTAACTCCAGTTTTAAGGAATTTGACTTCCACTTCTGACCTCTATATGAGTAGCAGGCACACACATGGTACACATTCTTACATCCAGACAAAACACACATAAAATAAAAATAAATCATTAAAAAAAAAAGATAGCTAAGCATGGGGACCTGAGCTCCAGCCTCAGCACCCACAGAAAAAGCCAGATGTGGCACAACCCCAGTGCTAGGGAGGCAGCCAAGGGAGGCTGTCTAGCCTCATCTAATCAGCAGGTCCCAGACTTCACTGAGAGGCCCTGTTGCAAAAACAAGGTGGCTCACTACTGAGGAATAACACCCAGGGTTGACCACTGGCCTTCACCCACGGAGCACTCACAGACACAAAGAGAAGATTAATAATAATTGTACAGGAGATCCTGGGTTCAATCCCTGGCATGGGTGTGTGTGTGTGTGTGTACATATTTCTGGAGTGTCATATGACGATATTTTATTGGGATTTTTTGTTTGTTTTTTGTTTTTCCAGATCAGGGTTTCTCTGTCTAGCCCTGGCTGTCCTGGAACTGACTCTGTAGACCAGGCTGGCCTTAAACTCAGATCCGCCTACCTCTGCCTCCTGAGTACATTAAAGGTGTGCGCCACCACCAGCCCAGTTTATTGTTCTTTTTTAAGGAGGAGTCTTATTCTATGCCCTGACTGGTCTCAAACTTGTGTCCTTCTGC